ATTAAGAGGGTAAGTGTTTTGTTCCTTAACATTAACGCATTAACCGTCATTTAAATTGGGGTATTTTTCTTCTAAATTCCAAATTCTTTTCAAGACCAATATTACACAAAAACAATTATTCATTATTATTACATATCAAACGTTAAAATGCAAATTCTGACATTCAATCAAAGCACTTGATGCTATTTCGATTTCAACTAATCAGATTGCAAAGATCAAGAGTTTACGACAAATTACAAAATTATTAAAGGTGACAAAATTTTTGTTCATTTTCAACTGAGTATACACTTGCAAAATCAATACACCAATAACCGATCAATAAATTTATCTTTCACACCTTACAATTTCTATGAAATGGGTGGTAGGGAACCATAATAGCCGTCCATCTAATGTCAACCATGTTGCTTGTAACATTAGCAACACAGTAATATGAAGATTACCTTTGATTTAAAATTACTGATTGATTGGTTGGATCTACATCTTTTAAGTGGGCAGTTGCTGTTATCTGGGAACTAATTGAGCTGAAAATTTATACTTGCTTCATCGGAGTATTTTCTCCAACTGGTGGAGTTGCTCGGTAAATTTTGGCAAGTCCCCCACAATTCCACATCTAGACCTTTTTTAACGCTAGTCAATCCATCTTTTTATTACCGGTAGTTTTTATATATTTTATTATTATTTGTTATTTTTATTTATATTTCCATACCACCTGAAAGATTGTTTATAGATACTTTATGGAAACTTCTGGAAACTGACAATGGAATGTAACTTACTTGAGTTTCAGAAATATATCTTTACTGAACGAATCTGAAGATAGTATTATATTCAAAGAATAATGAAGTTAAAGCAACAATTAACTCTATGTTATATGTCAATTTGTAATTTTTGTAAATTACATGTTTTGAAATAATTATGAACTTAAGCCAAGCTTCGGCTAAGTCTGTAAATTGACCACTGTCTGAGATATACACACTCAGTTTATTGTATGAACCAGTCCCAATCAGGCAATTATTTGTATGACTTAAAACTTAATAACAATTCTGAAAAAGTATATGTAGGAAGAATATCTGTTAACGATGAGTGCTAAATAGTGGAGAAAACACATGGCGAAGAAAGCATTGTTTAGTACATAATAAGACAGAAAATACAAGCCAATCAGAGTTTCTCTTCTATAGTCTATCCAGTTTTTATTTTTTTTTCATTGATTAGAATGTAGTTCAAAACCATATTCAGGATCCTAGATACAGTGATAACCAAGACACAGATGGTTGCCTGTTCTTACTTTCTATGTCTGTTCTTTAGTGATAGTTAAGATATTCTGATTAAAGTCAACAGGTTAAGTTTCAAAAATAAGAATCTAAATATTTGAAGTGTGTAGAGTTAGAATTTGAGACGAAAATTTCATGGTGGAAATTTAAAGCTTGTGGTACTTGAGTGTTTTGTTTTTAGCTAACAATACTTTTTGTGTATATGCGTATAAAAATTAAATTAATTCATGATATTTCTGTAGTTTGATTAGATTTTAACACTCAGGAAGATGTTTGTGCTGTGTCTAAGTAACTGAGTGTTACTAACCTATAAAAAAGGTAAAAGTAGAGGTATTTTATCCTGAATGGTAGTAAAGTATGTATACAATGTAGACGATTTATTTTGCAGTTCAAAAGAGCTCTGTTTGATGACTGAATAAACTAAAACTCACTGATATTGAATATAAATACATGGTCGAAGACAAAAGTTTGCATATGATTTAAAAAATATATTAGAATTGCAGACAAATTGTCGGATGTGCTCTAAGTAATTTTTTGTTCTAAATATGTTAAATAATTCTTACAGCCTCTACTTGAATTTATTCAAATACTACATATTAAAAAAACATAAGTAAATTACTGTACTGTACATATACATTTCACATCACGAAATGACTTCAGCTAGACAATCATAGAAAATTAGAGAGTACTTGTCAGTTGTTTTTTTTTAGTATTATATTGAAATAAAACTTCAGGATGCTCAGTGAATGTATTATATTTAAACTAATAAATGGAAAGTTAGTAGTTCATATGCCTAGCTTCCATCAGTAATCTTATGGATATAACATTCATAAGAGGATGAAAAATATATTAAAATCTTTCATTTTAAAAGATCTTTATTCATCAAGGAAAGAATAAAAGAATAAATAGAAACATTATTTTCAAGAGAGCAAGAACAAAGGTTGGTGCAGAATAATATGAATTCATTTTATTTCGTTAGGTTCTCATCAGCTTCCCTCTCAAACTCTATATATTCGAGACAAAAATTTTATGACCTCATTAACTCTAACGGAATCTTTGCTACATCATGTTACTTATATTCATCCTTCATCACCCTCTGATATATGTCAATATCTGTAATAACGTTGAATTTCAAATATTTTAGGTTGTAAGCAGCTGATGAGAACCTAACGAAATAAAATGAATTCAAATTATTCTGCACCAACCTTTGTTCTTGCTCTCTTTAAAATAATAAAGAGAACTATGTGCAAGAAACATTATTGAATAATAATGAGTTGAAATTTTAGAGGTTTTGTAGTTTATTCTTTAAAATGTAAATTCTTGATTACATGAATATGTATTTCTATTATACGCAAAAAAGAATTGTTATAATAAAAATACCTCTAAAATACTACAGCAACAACAACAACAAAAATGAACAGATTGTTATGTCATTTTTTGTTTATTTGTTTGTTTTAATAATAGAAAAATGTACCAATGTACATGAATGAAGTTAAACAAAGTATTTTTGGAATTTAAAATTGGTTGAAATTTGTCATCGAAATTGGACAAAGAAACATATTGTCTTGATTTTCTCTTTTTTTCGCTAATTATTTTTTTGTTAAATTTTTTTCACTTCAGATAGAAGTCTATCTGAAGTTTGTGCTGATGATGTCGTTCAGAAGAACGATGAAAGCTCCACGACCAAACCATCCAGCTCAGAGAACAAAACTCCATCAAAAAGTAAATGTGTTTTTTTGTTATTGATAAAACTGCTAGTGAATAATGTAATAAGAAAGATTAGTTTAGCGAAGAGTTTTCTTTTCGACGAATTCATTTTCAAAGCTGTAAAATCGCATATATATATACCTATTTTTACAGGATTATAATACTGATAATAAACTTCTGTTAGACATGGTGACAGTGGGGTTAAATAAACAAAGGTATTAAAAAAATTCTTTTAGAACAAGGAAAGTTTAATAATCGTTTGATTGTTAATGGCTTAAGTATTCATCAGAAAATAGATAGGGAAATTATCATTGGGAAAGGATGGCTCAGCATGATAAGATAAAATGATGAGATTGAGATTAAATGTAATCAGAATGATCGTGTAAACAAAAATAAAGCAGTTGGGGGTAGAGGATTTAAGGAGAAGATGGAAGGTGAAGCAGATGGCTGTAAAGGAAGAAGAGTATGAAAAAGAGAAAAAAGACCTATAAGACATTAAAACCATGGTAGAAGAAGAGGTTGTACCAGTCTCTTTTGCACACACAATTCTGGTTTTTCTAGGTATATGGCTAATGCTTTGGCAATGCAAAGAAGATACAATATAATTGTATTTGGAAGACTTCTACTTATTTTGTAGATGACTTTGAACTTAGAGTCTATCTTGACTGAGTGACCTGTGTTCACAAGGTGTTTGATTATTGAATTTCTTATTGAGCCGTTTCCTCCTCATTTTAGCCAAGCCGGATAATGTTCTTGGATTCTTTAAAAAGAACATTCTTCTCAGCAACATTGTAAATAGTGTTCTCCAGCCGAACATAGTTCACTAATAATTTTAAGGATAAATTATCTCATCTGACTAACCGAATGTGTATTTACCAATTTACTTGCTCATGTGAAGCTAGGTATAAAGGTCGTTCAATGCGTACTTTATTCAAACGAATCAGCAGGAAGAGTTCAAAATTCGACCAGAAAATTTATTAGGTTCATAAAAGATGATTCAGTAGAAGTTCAGTTATTTTTTACAAGTATATTTACAATATACCTCTAAGTCGGGTAACAAAATAGATATCTTGATCCAATAATAAAGAGCACATTCAAGAAATGTCAAAATGACATGATTCACTTTCATAAAACTCACTCAAAACTGTACTGAATGAACAATAGAACAATTTATATAAGATGTTTTCGTGGAACTGATCAAACTTACATTATAGCTTTACAGTAACTTGAAAAATCTTGATAATAGAATTCATGAGACTTTCATAATACTAAACAATCTCTTAATACAAAATATGAAAATATTTAATATTATATTAGGAAGTATTAAACAACTAATTCAATATTACATTTGAAATAGTCTTAGATTACTATATAACTATAAGTAGTTATATACTGCAATAGGATCAAACGGTTGTCCAGTACTTCCAAGTTTTCCACAATCATCTAGCTTCAATTGACTCATGATCTCAATCATTGAAAACGAAATTTCTTTTTTTGTTCAACATAAGTAAATATTCTCTAAAATCACAAAATTATTTTTATTCATTTCTTTAGTAAAATCACACATTCCATTGTATTTATTCAATAAACTTATATAATATACCAATGATATAAACATACTACAAAGAAATATATGTCATTTTATTCACTTCTTTTGGATGCAAAGCTCTGGCTTTTTGATCCGAACAGCAATTGCTTCAGCCGTCTGTAGGATTCGTAGTCTGACGGAATTAGGTTGACTGCTGCTATCACGATAGATTATTGCAAAAGATTGCTCCATGTTGGTTGAACTAGATGGTCTAAAATGGAGCTGTTAACTATTTTAACTACACCTTCGCTTAACCACACGGCGAGGTGCTCAGGATGTACTGTGCCTTAAGTCCGGCCAATTTTATGGATTATTAATTTGGATTTATAATTGTAGAACCTGATGAGAAATTATTGAAAAGAATATTCTTCATTCATACAATTGTGTTTCTAAGAATCTTTAATTTTTCTATTTTTGATATTCAGAACAAAACTCATATGTTGGATACTTCTACCATAACTTATACAAAACATAATCAATTTATAGTATCATATAATGTCAAGGTATCTACCCCAGAAATCCTATTACCCATAAACAGTGAATTATTAAATAAAATAAAGAATACCAATAACTGAAATATACAAACTCTTATAATTAAATAAATTTAATGATTGATCCAATTATTAAACAATGTTCTAGTGAATTCTTTGAAATAAATTCTTCAATAATGACAGATTTAAGAATCATTTTATTATAATTCGTAAACATATATAAGGAAAACTTTCAAAACTATACATATATGAATAGATCATTTGTATAAAATTATCACCTTACATTAACCATACTCATATCCATATCCTCTTTTTCACAATATTGAATAAGTTCATTTTTCTCTATAAATCCACCATTATTACCATCAAGTTTCATAAATATCTCAATAAATTTCTCCATATTGATAATCTTTCTATCGTTTTATTTTGTTTATTTATTATTGTCCTAATTCCTTGTATGTACTTCTTTAATATCCAATTACAATTATATATATATTTTTTTCGGCAGTTGTTATTATATACAATATATCATATCAATTCAATATTCCAAAAAAAATGATCATAATCTATTTGAGCATAGAATATATCAGACAGATATTTATACAAGTTGTTATTGGTTTTAAAAGTCTATACAAAACTAACAAATTGATTCATGTATGTTTGTGTTATAAAATAGAAGTGAATAAAATGACATATATTTCTTTGTAGTATGTTTATATCATTGGTATATTATATAAGTTTATTGAATAAATACAATGGAATGTGTGATTTTACTAAAGAAATGAATAAAAATAATTTTGTGATTTTAGAGAATATTTACTTATGTTGAACAAAAAAAGAAATTTCGTTTTCAATGATTGAGATCATGAGTCAATTGAAGCTAGATGATTGTGGAAAACTTGGAAGTACTGGACAACCGTTTGATCCTATTGCAGTATATAACTACTTATAGTTATATAGTAATCTGCAAGGATACCCCACATTCTCTTCGGAAAGATTTGGGATGAGGAACAGGTACCAAAAGACTGGAAAGAAGGACTTCTAGTCAAAATACCAAAGAAAGGCGATCTCAGCAACTGTGACAACTACAGGGGAATCACTCTTCTTTCAATACCGGGAAAAGTCTTCAACAGGGTATTGTTAGACAGGATGAAGGACTCCGTAGACGCCCAACTTCGAGACCAACAGGCAGGATTCCGTAAGGATAGATCGTGCACAGACCAAATCGCAACTCTACGGATCATTGTGGAACAATCAATTGAATGGAATTCATCACTCTATATCGACTTCATCGACTACGAAAAAGCATTTGATAGCGTGGACAGAACAACCCTATGGAAGCTTCTTCGACACTACGGCGTGCCTCAGAAGATAGTCAATATCATAGGGAATTCCTATGATGGATTAAACTGCAAAATCGTTCATGGAGGACAGTTGACAAAGTCGTTCGAAGTAAAGACTGGTGTCAGGCAAGGTTGCTTACTCTCAGCCTTTCTCTTTCTCCTGGTGATCGACTGGATCATGAAGACGTCAACATCTGAAGGGAAGCACGGGATACAGTGGATAGCTAGGATGCAGTTGGACGATCTACACTTCGCAGATGATCTAGCTCTTCTATCGCATACGCAACAACAAATACGATACAACACAGCATGTACCAATCCAATCACAATTGACGGAGAAGCTTTGGAAGATGTACAAACCTTTACATATTTAAACTGCATCATCGATGAACACGGTGGATCTGATGCAGATGTGAAGGCATGGATCGGCAAAACAAGGGCAATACAAATGTTAAGACAGTTCTACTGTATGGAGCCGAAACCTGGAAAACTACGAAATCCATCATCCAAAAGATACAGGTGTTTATTAACAGTTGTCCACGCAAAATACTTAGGATCCGTTGGCCGGACACAATTTAGCAACAACCTACTGTGGGAGAGAACAAATCAGATCCCAGTGGAGGAAGAAATCAGGAAGAAGCGCTGGAAGTGGATAGGAAACGCATTAGGGAAAGCATCCAGCTGCGTCACACAGCAAGTCCTTACTTGGAATCCTCAAGGTCGAGGGAGGAGAGGAAGACCAAAGAACACATTACGTCGAGAAATGGAGACAGACATGAGAAAAATGAACAAAAATTGGGTAGAACTAGGAAGGAAGGCCCAGGACAGAGTGGGTTGGAGAATGGTGGTCGGCGGCCTATGCTCCATTGGGAGTAACAGGCGTAAGTAAGTAAGTAAGTAAGTAAGTAAAAATGACAGACGTTACTTAGTTCACCAGGTTAGTGCGTGTTCTGATTTGATCTGGTACGAAATATCCACAATTATAGATGGTTAGTAATTCCGGTAAGGTTGATGTATTCCCAGTGGTTAATTCAACGTAGATTATGATATGTTCCAATCACAGGCTATAAATGTAGATAGTGTTTGATTTAGACTTCGGTTAACGCAACCACAAGTGAATGTAGAACGAGAAGTGCGCAACAATGTATTTGTTAGCAGTTAACAATGTGTCATGTTATGCGTGTAGCACGACGGAAGAAAGTTTGTTCAAGGTCATACACTTAAACAACAGGTACAATCATTTAATGATAAATGTACACTCAGTGGAAAATTGACAAAATAAATACAAATAACATTAAAAAATTATTTACAAAATAAGCTTGTCAGGCATATCTTCACAAATGTTATATAACCTATAACCTAATTTTATAAATATTTCTGATGTTATGATTTAAAAAGGACTGTTCGGTTAAGGCTTATTTATTATTTTGATTTCAATTTTTGTATTTGTACCTGATATGAAATTAATGATAAGAATATTAGTCTTTTTAAAATGACAATTTTTAAAGAACCATTTTATTAAGCAATTTTTAGTACATTAAACTAAATATGTAACAATGGAAATAATGATTTCCGATAAATTTTCATTGTGCTTGAAATTACTGATTCAAATAAATAGTCTAGTTTATGCTAATTATTTCTTTTAAAATCTGGGGTATACTTTTAGGGTTATTGGTAAAAGAGGTATATCAGTGTATGTATATATGGAACTGGTTGTGTTTGTTGTATACTTGAATCAAGTTAAAGGACACTTAAAATTGTGAGCCTAATAAATGGAAAGAGTAGGTCGAGAGAAAGAATTATGTACTTACTAGTTATATTCAATGGTCATCTGGAGGTTGCATAACCTGTGAAATCAGTCGTGTGAGAGAATCAAATAAGTCTAAGTACTAAATAAAGTGTTTGAATACACAGGAAATAATTAATCATAATTATGGAAACAGATGGATCCAATTTCTGAAATGTATAGAACGTTAGGTATGTTAGAAATGGAGTCACCTTAAAATCAAAATGATGAGTGACTTATTAAACCTGAGGCAGGCCAATGAAAGAAAAGAGTCCGAGAACCCATCTTTTAAACACAGCTTTGATCCTTGAAATCTTATGGTTTTGCATTTATAGTTTGAAGACCTATGACATGAGCGCTTTGAAAAATAATTATCAACACACTAGACCATTAAAATGTACCAATTAATTTTGGTTAAATAATCCATTTTGATTAGGTGAGTTAAAGTCTGCCCCATTTGGTGTTCTAATTTCACCTGTCTCTAGCCATACTGAAATTTTTCAAGCAGCACAAAAAGGCGAATTTATTGAACACCAGTTAACGGAATTTGTTTCTTTTAAGTATTTTTCATTCATAACTTTAAAGTCTTTTTGTGCTAAATTTGATTATAGTAACAATTACAAAATATTACAACAAATTTTTAGCTGCGATTAGCTGCCATTTATCTGCAAAGATTGTCGACAAGTTCTGCTTCTATGATATTATTTCTTATCGTATGATTTATATTCGATGTATGAATTACAGTGTAATCGTATCTTATTTCTACAAAGGATTAACAATAAGGAACACATATCAATCATTATCCTAATTCAACTTGGATTTAAAAAATATGACTTAACAGTCTCCTATGAACTTTTTGGAAAAGTGTATGAGTGCGTAATATAGTTAAAATAAGTAATTAATTTATAATAATCGGAAAGCGAGAAGTTCATTGTCATATTTAAGTGGTTGGCTATCAAGACTCAGTAGATAAGTGGATAATGTGATAGTGTTTGGATCAAACGGTACTGGGTTCGAATCCCTCAGTGAACATCAAATCTTGGACTCAGATAAATCAAGCTAACGAGTCCCATATAGGGTGAAACGTGCGTCATGGATTATAATGCTAGCCATCATCCATCTTCGTTTATAAATATCGAAGAGGTTTGAATCGGTTTTCCCTAGTGTTTAAACACGTTTATTTGATTTGTATTATGATATTTGCGAGTTTAATTCAAATATTCATTCATTTCTTTGTTTTATTTTTGTCGTTGTTGTTATTTTCATATCTAGGAATGGTTAAAACCATTTAATTTTAATTCATTTGGTAAAATATCATTCAGGGAATTATGTGTTGTATTCGGTTTAAAATATGAAGAAATGTAAGCGAATGTACTATTTTTTGGAAAATATTTCTTTGCTTTCAATGAGGGACTCCCTTTTTTTTACTTATATTTCTATATATACTAGATAACTATTAAATAAAAGTAAACAACAAAAGTTTAGCTATTTGACAGAAGTAAACATGACGCCTTTTTAAAATATTATGTGTCATTTGGCAATACCATAGTAGAAGAATTTTCTTTAAAGGATAACATAATATTTGTGTTATCAGTTTGTTACTTAAGTATCTATTCATTTATTAAAGATTGTCTGCATACTACTGGCATAACTCACTAATTGATTAATTATTTATTAAAAACGATTTTAGCCGATTTCTTTCTAGCAAAGCTAGAAAATGGACCTCTTAATGAGACTATTAAGAAGCTGGATTTATACTACCGCTACATTGACGACACTTTCATTATCTCAGATCAAAACACCAGTAAGGAGAAACTCCTAGAACAATTTAACAGTGTTCACCCAGCGATCAGTTTCACTGGTGAAAGCGAGCATGACAAAAAGCTGGACTTCCTTGACGTCACACTAAGCAGACGATGTGATGGCACATTAAGTAGAAGTGTGTATAGAAAAAGTCCCTCTATCTGCCAATATACCCACTTCTGCAGTTTCATACCTATCCGCTACAAGAGAAATTTGGTTAGATGTCTCACAAGCGGAGCAAAAATGATCTGTACAGGTGATACTTTAAGTCAGGAGCTTGAATTTATTAGCAACTCACTGACCGAGATCGGCTACCCCAGTGCTTTCATTAAGAAGTACATGTATGACATAATAAAGAAGTCGGAGATTTCGACTGTTCGTAAGAAACCTTTATACATGAAACTGCAATTCAACGGGGATGTGGTTAGTGATACTCTGAAATATAGGTTAACGAAAGTAATCAGAAGAACATTTTACGCAGTCAATCTTGCGTTGACTTTCTCTTGTCGATCAGCGATGTCTACTCAAACGAAGGATAAGTTACCTGAGTTGGCCTCCTCAATGTGCATCTACAAATTCAGCTGCTCCTGTGGAGATAGCTATATCGGGCGTACAACCAGGCAACTTAGCCAACGAAGGAGTGAACATCTACCAAATTGGTTTATAAACGGCCAGATAAAAACAGTACGCAGTTCAATCCTGGCACATCTTATTGATAGTGGTCATGCTGTAGATAAATCGAAATCATTTCGAGTGATCCATCTTATACCTCCATCATTTCCCAATGGAATTCGGTCCCGCCTCCTACATATAGCTGAAGCCATAGGAATTCGTACATATAACCCCAATTTATGTGTACAGAAGAAATTTGTAACGCCGCTATCCCTTCCATGGCCAGTTATTACTTAACTAACGATAAACTTTTTTATTTTCTTTATTATTATTATTATTATTATTATTATTATTGTATCATTAACCCTATTTACTCATCCATTATTTGTCTGGAATTATCCGCCTCTTTCCGTTTTTATTGTTCACTATCTAATTATTTACACACTTCTTATTACGTAATGATTTCAATGTTTTGTGATGACTACTCCATTTACCCATGTTTGACCTACTATTTCCAATGTTTAACTATTGATAAGACTTTTGTTATCGTATTTTATTATTATTACCTACTATCAGTACACCTGTCTTCCTACTATCAACTTGTACTTTTATATATTATGTGTGATGACTTATTCTATTTCATTGTAAGTACTGACCCAAATTGCCTTGATTGGTTTAACATTTTCGTATAAATATTACTGTATAATAGAGTTAAGCCTGATGATGATCTAATTGAAAACAATTGTTCGCTTATATGTGTTGGTCTAATTTTCACAATGGGAATCTTTAATATTCTAAAATAGACTTACTTACTTACTTCCTTATTTACTTACTTACTAATGTCTGTTACTCCCAATGAAACATAGGCCACCGACCAGCATTCTCCAACCCACTCTGTCCTGGGCCTTCCTTCCTAGTTCTACCCAATTTTTGTTCATTTTTCTCATGTCTGTCTCCATTTCTCGACGTAATGTGTTCTTTGGTCTTCCTCTCCTCCCTCGACCTTGAGGATTCCAAGTAAGGACTTGCTGTGTGACGCAGCTGGATGCTTTCCCCAATGCGTTTCCTATCCACTTCCAGCGCTTCTTCCTGATTTCTTCCTCCACTGGGATCTGATTTGTTCTCTCCCACAGTAGGTTGTTGCTAAATTGTGTCCGGCCAACGGATCCTAAGTATTTTGCGTGGACAACTGTTAATAAACACCTGTATCTTTTGGATGATGGATTTCGTAGTTTTCCAGGTTTCGGCTCCATACAGTAGAACTGTCTTAACATTTGTATTGCCCTTGTTTTGCCGATCCATGCCTTCACATCTGCATCAGATCCACCGTGTTCATCGATGATGCAGTTTAAATATGTAAAGGTTTGTACATCTTCCAAAACTTCTCCGTCAATTGTGATTGGATTGGTACATGCTGTGTTGTATCGAAGAATCTTGCTTTTCCATTTGTGTATATTGAAATCTATTGTTGCTGAGGCTGCTACTACACCGGTCGTCTTCTCCTGCATTTGTCGTTGTGTTTGCGATAGAAGAGCTAGATCATCTGCGAAGTGTAGATCGTCCAACTGCATCCTAGCTATCCACTGTATCCCGTGCTTCCCTTCAGATGTTGACGTCTTCATGATCCAGTCGATCACCAGGAGAAAGAGAAAGGCTGAGAGTAAGCAACCTTGCCTGACACCAGTCTTTACTTCGAACGACTTTGTCAACTGTCCTCCATGAACGATTTTGCAGTTTAATCCATCCTCTGAATTCCGTATGATATTGTTGGTCAGAATGATACTTAAAATTTCATATTTAAAACATCTAAGGCAATAAAATTTTAACACTATGAATAAATTCGGCTTTTCATTTCAATAGTCTTCTGAGTAACCTAAATGAATGCTTCATAATCTCAGAGGAATAGTGTTTCGGTGTATATATTTGCTTTTATGTTACCACTTTGACATGCATAAATATTAAGCTTAAAAAAAACATTATACCAACAAGGGTTGTGTCAATTCAAACCATAAATGCTTGCCTTTGTCCAAATAATATTTTAAATCAAAAATATGATTGATGGGTACTTATAACTTATATCATTATTAAAGTAAGAATGTTCTCTTACAATTTTCTTGATTCTTTAAGCACTGAATCAGAATCAGTTAATTTAGATATCAATAAAAGTCATTTCATAATGAATTGTTTCGAATGAATTTTTCATCAAAGATGAACTAATGTAAACATATTATTTCTTCTTATTTCTGTCAACAACAACAACAACAACAAAACAGTGCTGTGATAAACGTAATTTTTCTATTTTTCTTTATTAGGATTATGGAAAAGAAAGATCGAGAGAATATGGCTGCTGGTTTATCACCTAAACTAGATTCAGATATTACCATTTTTTCTACTTCAATGTCTTTACAAAAACAAGTTGATATAACAAATTTATTTAAAGAAATGTTGAATAAAAAGTATACTGATGAAAAATCAATAATTTTAATAGTTAATGATATTAAAAAATATTTAGATGAGAAATATGGTAAATTATGGCAAGTATTTATAATTGATGGATCATTCTGGTCAAATTTTAGTCATGAACCTTTTTTAGCAATAGAATTCATGTATGATAAATTTCGTTGTGTAATTTGGAGAAGTCCAGTAGATTAAATTAAAAAAACAAACAATAAAATGATAATAAACTTTGTATTTTATAATACTTTGTATTAAATAAAACAAACATTTAGTTCTTACTAATAAGAACCATGGTAATGATACCTACCAGCTCATATAGTTCTTATGTTTATGTATGAATTTTATCAGAAATCTTTCTAAAAAAATATTTATTAAAATACAGAAAAATTTTATTATCGCCAGCCAAAGAAATAAATATAATGACTTGGTTTTGGTGTTTTGTTACCCTCAATTGAATTGTTTATATGATATATTTTAGTTATGAGCATAAAAGAAGCAGGACAGTCAGTTAGATTAATGTTTCAGTAATCATGTTAAATTTGTTAATTGAGATCATGAAGCTAATCCGTCTCGGGTAGAGACAGGTATCTACCTCAGTACAATAGAAGATGGTCGCTCAATTTCGTGAATTGGTTCATGTTAGACACTAACACCATTGGATGCCGGCTCAGTGGTCCATTAGGTTAAGCATTTGCGAACGAGATTGAAGGCCCTGGGTTCGGATCTTGCAGTCTGGATCATGGATGCGCACTGCTGAGGAGTCCCACAATAGGACGAAACAGCCGTCCAGTGCTTCCAGGTTTCCAACGGTGATCTAACACGAATCGGTTCATGATCTCAATCAAAAATTTAATAATCTCCACAACCCCTATACTGATAATCATGTTAAAGTACGTCATATGTGATGAAAATATAATATACTAGAAAATAATTTCTTATCAGAAGTTATAAAACTAAATGAACAAAGAATTCTGATGGTATGTTATAATGAAAATTAGAGAAATGATCTATTCGCTATGTGATAATTCTAAAATTAAAAACACGAAGTTCAGCTAAGGGATCTTATTTCAACGAATTTACTATCAAGCTGTACAATCGTATATATATGAAAATTTTTTGTTTTTGTAAAAGTACTAATTCCGTGAGGAAATGTGAACACAATTAACTAAGATGACGTAATCGAAAGACTACAATACCAGATTATGTAATACAAATAATAACATTAGATTTAGTGAATATAGTAATATGATTAAAATGATTGAAATGTTTTGCTACAATAATTAAAGGTCACTAAAGGTCATAGAAGTGCAAAAATAAATAAGGTGATATGATGAGCATTTACGAATAAAATACTGAGAATATAAGACATAAGTAAGGGGGAATGCAGTAATAATAATAATAATATGATCAAAATACTTAAGGCCAAGGTAACGATAACGATAAGACGTACTTCTTTTGTACACATAGTTCTGGTTTAAGCTCCTGGATGGTAAGAGCTTCGGCTATTTTTAAGGGCTGGATACGAAGAAATCTGGGTAGATTTGAACGAATCATATAAACAACCTTAAAATCAAACTGTGGATCAGTAGAATGGTTACAGTCGATTAGGTGTTCAAGTATGGAACTTCTAACTGCTTTCCTCTCAACCTTATAGAACCACGCTAGGATATGTTCCCGTATCCGAGTTGGAAGCGAGCGCTGGCTACTGCCAATGTACCTTGCTCCACAAGAGCAGGTGAACTGGTAGATGCACATAGAGGCGACCAGACGCGGAAGCTTATCTTTTATGGATACAGAAAATAAGTTCCTACTAGTGAAGGTTATTCGCAGTTTAGCCTCATTAAATGTTCTTCTAATCGTTGTTGTTAGACGACTTTTGATTACGTCTGATATTCAATCATCTTTAAATTCCAGACTTATATAAAGGTTTTTCTTCGGGACGGAACAATTAGGTTTCTTGTCGCAACTACTTCTATTGATATTCTTTTCTATGAAACGTTCTGGGTAACCATTTTCATATATATACGATTGTAAAGCTTGATAATAAATTCGTTGAAAAGAGATCTCTTCGCTGAACTTCGTGTTTTTAATTTTTAATGTTTAAATGGGAATCACCTGTCTATAATTCCAAATGCAAATTGAGAATCATGATAAACAAAAATGAATCCATGTAATTTATATGGATATAAGTATGAAATTCAGAAACCTTCTATATACATTTAGAATAACTCAAGTAAAGATGAAATATTGGATTTGTGTGAATAAAATCATTTAAGGGATTATTATTATCGAACAATTTATTTACAACTACTTTAATAAACTAAAATCTTAATTTGATGGAATTATTTGAAATCCCACTTTCGTCAACAAAGCAAACTTCAATAAGCATTCATAGGTTAATGATTTTTTGTAATGGATTTTATTTAGTTTATCCAGCTAAAGTTTTGATAGGAACTGTTATAAAAACCCATATACCACAAAACTAATCACCATGTAAGTTTGAAGTTCACGAGTTGAGTCAAGTAAGGTTTTACTGAGAACTGCAATCATGTTTTATGTTATTAAGTTAATTACCTGAAAAGTTTTGAGCAGTTGGTGTTAGCAGTTAGTCTTCTTGATATTAAGTCAAATAAAAAATGTAAAATGTTTAAGCACAAGCCATTAAATAACGATGATCTAAATCATTCTATCAAGTAATCCAATTTGATCAGAAATATCACAGAGCGTCATTTTGACTACATATATATGAATATTGTTGTTAAGAAGCAGAACTCTTGCACTTCTGACTTTTTAAACTTAAAAAGCGTGGAGGCCATTCCAACATATTAAAAAAACATTCTGTGGAGAAGACTGAGTAATGGGTTCTTCACAAATGACCGGAATGCCTAGCAATGCTTGTTCCCCACAGAGGTGGGATGGGCTGTGAAATGCTTACCCTACAAACAACACACTTTGTCTTTTTTGAGGAATTTAGGCTATCAGTGATCAGGTTTGAAAAGCAAGGAGCTAATACAATAAAATCTGTTCATAAAGTGGGTAAATGACCAGCTTCAAGATACATTTTGACCTTGTCATTTATTCGCTTTTCAATCTTGACTGTTTCTATGTAAGTGTGTGTGCATTTCCTATATTACACATCACATTTTTGTAAATTATTTTTATCTGACTATAAATATCAATTAATGCTTGATTAAATTCAGTTGGCTCACACGCCTCCACTGCGCGTCATTTCGCTTTGCTCTCTTCTCTTCGCTTCCTTCTCTTAGTTCCTCTAATTGTTCCGATCAATGAGTGTACAAAATATACGCATTCAAAACTTCATTCTTGTATTTGACTTATTTAATTCCATTGTTCACCAACGCGAGTTTTATACGAGAGTAGTTAAGATGTATATTTTGACAGCAATCATTCAATAACAATCAATCACACGATCTAACTGGAGTCAGATCTCGGGTCACTAAATATTCACCCACTTGGGTGGATAGATGGCCAACGCTCACTTCGGATGCATCTGCTACAACTATCTGTCTCTTTCGCATTGCATACATACCACTAAGCTTTCGTTCGTGCACCTCGTGACATATATATCATCATAAGCACTCTCTTGGGGAGGGTTGATGATCATCTTTCCCTAGTGTTTGTTATCAGGATGATCCGCTGATAAAATAACATTGGAAGGAACCCAGCATGCTCAAGTTGTTGATGTTTACTTTATCATTCAGACACTGGCTCAGAATCCAGTCTTTGATATTCACTTCACGATGCATAGTTACTATCATTCAATATTACTGGTTGGCATTCCCATGAATGAAGAAACAGTCAAGTCCCTACAAAACATGATTTGTTTTAATAGCTTCAAGGTGTCCAGCTTGTCTTAGGCCATTAGTTAATACTGAATTAATGTACTCAAAGATGGTATCGGTTGATGCTATTTAATTGAAGTTAAAATGTATGGAACGAGCTCGATTTAATATCTGGAGGTCTGAGGAATGGTTTTTCGAAGAATTGTAAGTGTCAACTGATGACGGAGAGCTATTAAATTCTTCTGGTTTTTAATTGTTTTACATTAAATGTCAATTACAATGAAAATATTTTTAAACTTCACTTGGACAATTTTCCCATAATGCATAGATTACTCATTTGAGCGTGAAAGTAGTATCAAATATTCATGTAATATTTTCTTAAATATATTGATATGAAGTTTCATTTCAGAATGTCAAACATTGTGTCGGAAGAAGAAAGCAATCAAAAATAACGACAGACATTAACTGATAAAAAATTGGGATTCTTTACACTTTTATTCGGTCAAATTTTCGAAAGACTACTTCAGAGTCATCATTGACTAGAATGAAATTTTACTGTGAATCATATGAATGGGGGTTGTCGTGGTTAATCAAGGTAAATAGTTATCTGTTTAACAGCTGTTTAAGTCCATAGAATTTTTAGTTTTAGCAAATCACTTGGCGATTTAATCAATGAGTTACATCCGTGCCTCTACGACAGGAGGTCATACTTTCGAATACAAAATATGCTCTATCAAATATTCTCAAATCGAAACAAAACTACTGTCTGATTCTTCATAATTTTAATTGCTGCTTGTATAATGTCAGTTTTGGATAAAAAAAGGCATATCCTACACCATAATTTTTATTGTTTACGGGCTTAAGGAGTTCGATATCAAATGCTAATCTGAAAGCTGTTCTGTTAGTAAATTCAACGAAGACAAAATTCAAGAAGGGCCAAAATAACAGTAAATGTAGAATTTCACTGTCTACCTGTTTTTTTTACTATTTCTCATTCCTGCTTTCTTTAACCACATAGAGTTTCTTGTCACGTATCTGAGGAGATGATGAATGTCTTCATTTGGTTTTTGATGTTGACTGGTCACACATCAGAATGGTATAGGACCCATCCGACTAACATTAAGGTAATACGTCATTATACTTAAGATGGTTATCCTTTATATACGACTGTAGCATCATACATTCATGATTCAATTCTACTTTTATTTCCTTATTAGTGTGACAAAATGAATAGTTGTGCATCCGAATTAATTATAGAGTGACCTTTGTAAAAATATTAAATTATGTAATAGTGCAGTAATAAGAGAAGACAAAGATGTTACGCGGGTGGTTATAAACACTAGACTCTGAAAAATAAGTGCGAATCTGATTTAGCCTAAGATCATTTAAAGA